TGACATAAATTGAGCCAACAAGTAAGCACATGCACTTTCCAGCCATCCGACCAAGCTGAAAATTAGGTTTTTGTTTTGAGGAAACACCAAAATAAATTATGTGTCAGTATAATACTCGCTGCAATTCCACATCATTGGTACTCAAGCTTTTTCAATGCACAGCTCAATATAATATTTAACAATTGCTAACATTAAAAATGGCTTTGAGGTTTTTTTTTTGCAAGGTTGAATTTTAGTAAAACAAATGTTGGTGCAAAAGCGTCAGTAAACTTTTGACTGTTGTGGTGCTGCACCACTGTTACCATCGTGGTGCTGCAGTAGAATGAAAACCCTTTCCTTTTGCTAAATATTGTTGCTTGACCCTGTTAGGATATCTAATAAAGCATAGGCAAATTATAGAAATTACATTTTGTGGGTCTTCTGCAATGTTCAGGTCCTGCTTTACTGTCATTTCAGTCTGTCACTGGGAAGCTGCCAGACAACATGATCACAGACCATAATATATTCATTATAATATTCAACATTTGTGCATATAATTTGATTTTACTGTACTGAAATTAAGATGCTAAGTTTCTTTTATAGGTGTATAACTACTAAACTGCTGCTTGGTAGGGGGCTGCTAGGCAACACGATGACGTCATAATATCAGGTAAGATCCTTCAGGGGCCTAAGATGTACCCATGTGACGGTTTTGGTTCCTCAGCTCCTAACGGTGTAGGAGTAGTTCACAGACAAGCAGACAGGCGGGGAACATATGTAAAATAGTAAGACAGCTGTTTTTTGAATATCCGCGTAATTTTAACTTTCAGGTCCAGGTGTTTGCAAGCTATGTGATGACCAATCTTAGGTTTTCTGCAAACGTTGTGGAGGCTTTCAAAACAATATGTGTGTGTGTGTGTGTGTGTGTGTGTGTGTGTGTGTGTGTGTGTGTGTGTGTGTGTGTGTGTGTGTGTGAGTGAGTTCATGAATCAGTTACTATTTGACTTATGAAGCAATACCAGAATGTCCTTAAATTTAGGACATTTGGTTTACTTTGAGTTAATGATTATCATAGATTCTGCTTTTTTTTTTCTTTACTGCACTGTTTTATTACATTACCAGTCTGACCTCAGCTATCATGCGCATCCTAATTGTGATCTCAGGTAAGGGAAATTGAAATACAGATTTTGCAAATGCAAATTTTATATTTAACTATTTGTATGTAACAAAAAAATGCAACTGTTAAGGTCTCTGTCTCGCCTTTGGCAGTCTGGGTGAGTTCATAAATTTTACCAACCCTTTTATATTGGACAGTCATATAATGTTTTAAAGAGATTGAAAAATGTTCTTTCATATTCAGTCTCATCCTCCAGACTTGTGTGTTACTTCACAAACTGGTCCCAATACAGACCTGGCAATGGGAGGTTTATGCCTTCAAATATTGATCCAAACCTTTGTACGCACCTAATCTATGCCTTTTCTGGTATTAATGAGGCAAATGAATTAGTGACCATAGAATGGAATGATGAGGAACTCTATAGATCCTTTAATGGACTCAAACAAAGGTTAGTCTATTTTCTCCTCATATCACTTACAAAATGTTGAGAAAAAAATAATCTTTGCTGCTGTATCTTTACATTCCCACAGGAATCCAAATCTTAAAACCCTGCTGGCAGTTGGAGGCTGGAACTTTGGAACGCAAAAGTGTGACACTAAGCATAAAACAATAATGACTCATAAATTTTATCTTTGTACAGATCTTTTTAATTGTGCCTTTCTTTTGCCAATCGGTTTCATAGGTTCACTACTATGGTGTCAACACAAGCCAAAAGAAATACATTTATACAATCTTCTATCAAACTACTGAGAAAATTTGGTTTTGATGGACTAGACCTAGACTGGGAATACCCTGCAGCAAGAGGAAGCCCTCTGGAAGACAAGCAGAGATTCACAGTGTTATGCAAGGTCAGATTTGGAGTTACTGATGATTGGCATGAACCACGAATGTACCTTTCTTTTCTGTGGTTTATAGGAGCTACTACAGGCCTTTGAGGCAGAGGGAACATCAACAGGACGGCCCAGGTTAATGATTTCTGCTGCTGTGTCTGCTGGTAAAGGAACCATTGATGCCGGTTATGAAGTCTCAGAGATGTCAAAGTAAGCTTATTAGTAATATCACATTGCATGCCCTGCAAAACCTGTTTTGCTGACCTTGACCTCTCATGCACTTTATCAGGTATGTCGATTTTATTAATGTGATGACATATGACTTTCATGGTACCTGGGAGAGTGTCACAGGACATAACAGCCCCTTATACAAAGGATCCCAAGATATTGGGGACCACGTTTACTTAAATACTGTGAGTAGATGGGTTCATTTTTCTCCCTGAAAAAGAGGGATTATGTAATCCATTCCGTTTGTTTCTTTGTCTGTTTGTTAGCGGTCTAGTGTTTCAAATTTTATGAAATGATAGATACCAACAAGCTGATCTAAGGTCATTTAATTTTCATGAAAATCAGGTCAATGTGAAAACTAGTAAAAACTTTACATACACAATTTTTTTATGGGTCATGTTCAGATTTCACAACAATATACTAGGTCTTGGGGAGCATGTGTACCTAGGTTGGCCAAACATTTGACCTTTATGAAATAAATTCAAAGAACCATATTGAGTTATATATCATATAAAAGGGTATGGAGAGAGCTGCACAAGACACTACAACATCACTATGACACTATAATATTTCTCAAAATTACACAATGACTGAAAATATGTTAAAAATGTTCAAATCTCAAGCATGTAGATTTGCATGTAAATCACAAAGATTTCAGCTAATTCTGATCCAATCATATGAATAAAGATGAAAAATACACCCTTTTAGTATGTATTAGGAAAAAGCTTTCATTTCGATCAAATCATCTCCAAATTTTGAAGCAATATATTTGTCAAAGGGGAACATAAGCGCTTTCTTTTTCTGAGCTCTTTAGAAAAAATTTTGATATAACATTATATGACTTCACAATGACACAAAAATATTAATATAGTGCAGAAATGACTATGAAAACAATGCAGATATCATTATTGGGGATAACAATACCAGTGAAACATAAAACACCAAACTTTTAGTATAGCCCTTGCCCTTCAGGGACCGTTGTGCTCTCTGGGTGCTTTGTTTTAGACTGCAATTGCTCCCAGCCACGCTCCACTTTTCCACACAGTTCTCAACCAACTGTCGATGGATTGACATTGATTGTCACCATTTTTACACTTGAGAATTTAAATCACAAATTATTTACAAAGTCAATGAGTCGCTGAACCTGATAATACTAGTATTAATGACAATATAACTTACATATATTTACATTTTAGGATTTTGCTATGAGGTACTGGGCAGAAAAGGGAACACCTGTACAAAAGTTAAATATGGGCTTTGCTACATACGGACGCACGTTTCGTCTTTCTACTCAATCCAGTCAAGTTGGAGCCCCTGCCAGCAGCCCTGCTGCTGCTGGCACATTTACAAGGGAGCCCGGCATTTGGTCTTATTATGAGGTAAAAAGAAATCCCCACTCT